AGACTTTATCCCATGACTATAGAGAGTCATTATTATAGGATTTTAGGCAGGAGATGACATGATGACATAAGCAGATTTACATTTTAGAGAGGACATTATGGCAGAAGCATTGAGAATAGATTGGAGGAAGGTCATATAGGAGAGATCAATCACTTAGGTAGCCATTGCAGTAAAACAGGTGAGAAACGAAGGCCTGAATTAAGGTATTTACAGTTGGACTGGAGAAAACCACTTGAATCAGAAAGATTTAAGGAAGCAGAAATCCATAAGGTTTGCTGACGTATTGGATATCAAAGGTGAGGAAGAGGAAGGAGTCAGGAGGAGGTCTGGGTTTTTGGCTTGAGCAGCTGGACAGACAGTGAAGCTATTTACAGGGAGAGGGACATAAAAGGAGGAGTTCCATTTTGAAAACTTTCAGTGTGAGATGCCTGTGAGACACCTAGATAAAGAGGTCCAAGAGTCAGTAGTACATATAGGTCTGGAACTCAGGAGAGAAATCTGGCTGGAGATAGAAACTTGGAAGCCATCATTAGGAATAAAGTGATTGCAACCTCAAGAGGAGATGAGATTGAGCAGGAAGAAGGTATAGTACAGTGGTTCTCGTCCTTGGCTGTGCCTTAGGACCACCTGGGGGAACTTACTAAATTCTGCATTTAAGAAGCCACATAGCTTGGGTCACACCACAGACCTATAAAATTAGAATGTTGGGAATGGGATCCAGGCATCCATGTTCTTTAGAACTCTCCAAATTGATAGAGTGGCATCCAGAGTAGACAAGCATTTGGCAGGCAGAAATGAGAATAGGTCTCATTAAAGGTGTCAAAAAGGGAGGAGAAACTCATGAGGGAGCCTAAGAAGTTCCCTGATGATAAGAGAACCTGGAGAGAAAAGGGATTATGGGTGTTCTGGGTGGAGAGGTCAAGAAGAAAAGAGTGAGACCCCTCTCTACATAATCTTCAGTCACTTCCTAAAATGTCCCTTACCTGATCTGTTTGCTATTTCCATCATTTAACTTCATAAGATACCCATCTGTGTCTCTACTCAGACTACTCCCATACCCAGGAACCCTGCCCTTTTCCAGGATGCCAATCCACATCCATTCCATATTTAAGACTTGGCTCAAAGCTTGTCCTCCTAAGAATATCTGGTTACTTTGACGAGATTCTGATTACTCCTATTTAGGTAGTCCCTTACGTATGTACTTGCTTGCTAACGATGGCCCTGCTGTGGAGCAGTGCCAAGAGTCGAGGACCTTAGACTCTGAAGATCTGGGTTCAAATTCTGACTCTGTACAAGTTAATTAGCTGGACCCTGTTGGAGAAGTTATTAAAGCTCACCACTTTCTTTACCTGTAAGGTCTTCATGGCTATAACTACTTTGAAGGGTTGATAAAAGATTTGCGTGTGAGACTATAAAAAAAACTATACATGCGGTATGGCATAGGGTGGTATTATTAAGTTTTACATTTGTCCATAGGTTGCTGTGCAAGCATCCCAAAGTGTGTGTGTGTGTGTGTGTGTGTGTGTGTATGTGTGTGTGTTTGATTTTTAACTGGATTCTAAACTTGAAGACAGAAACTGTTTTGTTTCTTTTCGAACCCCCTTTTAGTTTTGGGGGCTCACGGGGTTAACCAAGTGCAGCAACCTTAAGGATGTTGCTCCCAGGGGACAGGACTTCTGGACCTTTGAGCAGGACCAAGTGTCAGATGACAGCCTGCACTTCTATGTCATTTGAATCAGTATCACCTAGTCTAGATCTGTAGGCTGCAGACACATAGGGGAAAAATCCTAGGTATGTGCAGTAAATGGAAAAGGCTTGAGGCAAAACCATCTGATGACTCTGCAGATTGCTCTGAGGAAAATCCAAAATCCTCAAGCCTCCTAAGCCCTGCATGGCTGTGAATCTGCAGAGAGACCTCTCTGACCTCGTCTCCTGTGACTCACCCCCTTGCTCATTGGTATCCACTCACCTCTACTATTTCCTGAGTACACGGCTTTAGGGCCTTTGCAGGTGCTATTCCTTCTCCTGAAATGCTCTTCTTTGGATGTTCATTGGTTTCTTTCCCTTATCTTCTTGGGGTCTTTGTTCCAATGTTACTTTCTCAGGAGACCCACCCTGACAACGTTATTTCATTTTCGTGACCCTCAGCATTTATCTTCCTTCACTGATTTTTTTTTTCCTGTAGCACCTGTTATAATCTGATATGTATTTTACTTATTCCCTCTTGTCTTTCCATTAGGATGTAAACGCTACAAGGACCATGTTTTTTGTCTATGTTTTTAAAACTGCTATATCTTTGGTGTCTAGATCTTGAAACACATAGTAGGCCTTCATTCTCAACAGCCTTTGTAATTTTCTGGATCTGAAGACACAGGGAATCCAGTGATCAGTAGATGGCGCTAGAGCTCCATATGATCTTTTTCTCCAGTTGGCTTCCAAGGTGTTTTTTAACCTCTGGAATATTTCCTGTGCTAAATAAATAGGCCTGGTTGATTCATCTAGACATTTAGTTATACAACCATAGCGTTATGATGTGAAGGAGACATTATAGATTGCATTGTGCTAACTCCTCATTTTAAGGATGAGAAAACTGGAGCACAGTAAGGGGTCAAAAATTACCTAAAGTCATATGTGGCATTAGCAGCAGGACAAGAACTCCTTTCCTGACCCCCCCTCCCTCTCTTAAACTGTTGCTATATGTTTAGTTGTGTTCTTAGCATCCTTTCCACTCAAAAATACAAGTTGCTTGTATACAAAATACAGTAAGAGATTGTATTTGACAGTAAATATTCAGTCAATAAATATTCCATTCAAATTAGGCTCCAGCTGCTTGAGTAAGTCTCATAGTAAATTAGTCAGTAATAATGGCTGTAAATCCACTTGTGCTGGGTTCTCAAAGGAATAGGAGACTTAATCAGATTCTTAGTGATCTTATCGTTACTATGGAAAGGATGCACGATATAATTGAAGCAACAGGAGAACACTTGTTTATACTGCTATCAGAAGGCAGAATGCACACTGGGAAATCTGAACATATGGAGCTCAACAGAGCCCTGAGGGAGGATTAAAGGAGATTAATTTGGAACTGGCCTTTCAAGAGTCAGATGCCATAAATTTCTACACTAAGGACCAACTCCAAACTGCACAGCAAGCCATGCTATGAGACATTCATATTAAGCCTTGGGTATTTTATCACATTCATGATACTTGATACAGAATACATCAGACCAAGAGCAGCCACTAGTTTTGATGCAGCGGGTATAGTGGCAAACAAGAGAAACAAAATCCTTGTTGCTGTGGACCTTAAGCTCCAGTAGGGGGCAGAAGACAATGAACAAGTAACAAAAACAAGATATCAAATATGAAAAATGCTAAGAACAATAAACAAGAAGAGGAGTATGTGTGAGAGAGTGATTGGGGCATAATCTTAGATTAAATGTTAGAGAAGCTTCTTTGAGGAGGTGACTTTTTAGCTGAGACCTCAGTGAAATAAGGAGCTAGCCACAAAAAGATCAGGGAGAAGAATATTCCAGGCAGAAGAAATAGCTGTTTCAAGGCTTCAAGATGGTAAACAGTGACTGAAGAGAAGAGGTGCAAGATGAGGTCTGGCAGGGCCCCATCCTAGGAAGGCCCTGGGGAGAATGTTAAATTTTGTACTCAGTATGGTGGAAAACTGCCAAGCATTTCAAGCAGGGAAATATGTGTCCTGACCCAGGGTTGAACCTGCAACCTTGGAATATCATCAGGACGTAGGGAAGTGACATGATTTGTAAAATTGCAGAGGAGTAGAGAGTCCCATCAGGAAGCGATTGCTGCATTTAAGAGAGAGATGTGGTGATGGGGGTGATAGGAGCAAAGGTGACAAGAACGATGGAGTTGAGCTATCCTGTATTTTAATAGAAACAAGAGGTCTTACAAATGAGTTTGTTTTGGGGGAGAGAATGATTACAATAAAGAATATCTCCTAGGTTTTTGATTGAGCAATGTGGATGATGCTACTAACTTACTGAAATGGAGAAAATTGAGGGAGAAACAGGTTAAGTCAAGAGCTCTGTTTGAGAATGCTAAGCTTGAGATATTATTTCATGTCCAAATGAAATGCCAAGTAGATAATTAGATATATGAGTCTGGAGTTCAGGAAAGAGGTAGGGTTGGAGATGAAGATTTGAGAACCTTAGAAATAGTGATGAAAGTTAAAGTCACAGGACTGGATAAGATTACCTGTGGTTAGAAAAGAGGAGAAGGCAGCTGAGGAGTGATTCCCAAGGGGAAGAAAGTTGGGCTGCAGTGAAATAAAGATCAGTTTTCTGTAAGGAAATGATGTCTTTCTGATTTAGTATATTTGGAGGAAGCACTGTGAATTAGCCTCATAGTATGTTTCTCAGAGTTTGGGAATAGAGACAGCATTTAAGAATAATGGCCTTCTGTTTGGATTTTTCAGTTGAGGAAATTTGGAATGTTGTTCTGTGGCTCAGATTCAGAGAGCTGCTTCCCCCGCCCCCAGCTGCAGAGACCATTGTGGTCAGCCTGTGCCCCATTAGGATGCTCCCCTCCCTCCTTTCACACCCTTCTTGAGGGTGGACTCCCCACTTTCTGGTCATTGGCTTTTGACCTTAGAGCTGATGTGTTAACTGTATTCTCAAGTCACTTTGAGTCACTGAAGAGAAGGGAGATTAAGGCAGTGGAAATGGAGAAATGGGAAGAGATTCAAGAGGTATGGAGGATACAGAATTGGTATGACTTAATGATCATTTGAATGTGTAAGTGAATAAGGGGGAAGAGTCAAATTTGACTTCTCTGCAGGGGAAGGAGCTGTAAATGATATCTAGATAAGTTGCTTTTGACTCCTTTTTTGTTTGTTTGTTTCCTATTGATTTTTATAGGAACTCAAAGAACAAAGTGATCGTAGGAGTCAAGAAATTATGCCTTGTTCTTGGAAAATGACCCACAAGTGAAGATAGCATAGCCCCACAGTGAAGAAGAAAAAAGAGTCATCAAGGTCATTGCTCACCAATCATTTATTGGGCATTTAAATACAATTCCATAGATTTTCTTCTGAAGGGTTTTCAGGCCCCAGTATCTTTGTGTCAACAATTTTGGTTCATTAGGATCTGAAAACAGATGACATTTGCTTCCTCTCTATTTAATATGATCAGAAACTAGAAAGACATCGAGCTAAAACCAGTCTAGTCAGCTTTAGTGCTAGGAGCTAGGACAGTCCCTCTGATGAAGGGTAGGAGCCTGCGCGCTGGAGGTGTTGTGAATCAGAGATGTCCTCTGTGGTCTCTGACTCTCCTAGCAGCCTCTCACTGTGTTTCATTTAAGTGTAGACTATGAGGCTTGAAATTCCTGATGTTTCATCCACAGGAGCCAAAGCTCACTGAAGCCCAGATATCCTCTTCTCAGTTTGTGATGGGTATCTTCTGAATACCTTTCCTGTTTCTGAATTTTGGGAGAAGTTTCTACCTTTCAGTGACCCAACCATGTCCTATGTACATGGAGGGCAAACCAGGAAATGATTTAAATCCCCAAGCTAATCAAAATTGGGATCTGATTATTTCACCCAATTTACCACTGAGATTTCACCCCTCCAGAACACCCTGGATTTGCTGCTCAAAGAACTGTCATGCCCTAAAAGTAAATGCTAATCCTCAAAAGTATCCTTGCAAGTAGATAGAAAGTAGAGGAGAGAAGGAAGACATACATTTTTCAATCTCTTAAACAGAAGTAAATATGAACTTGACCTGTAGATTTCTTCTTTGGCAGTAGCTCTGTTGTGCAATAAGGCCTAGTGCCAATGCTCTCTCTGCTCTTGTAGATAGTCGTAGAGGGGGTTGGGAGCAATCGTTGCCTTGGTAGGGTGACTTCCACCCTCTTCTCTTTTTTGGGGCCTCCCCCTGCTCTGGGTTGGATGGAAGGCCAGGTCACTGTGTCTTCCCTGGGAGCCTTGGCTCTGGTCATCCTCATTCAAGTGAAATTTTTCTCTGTTGGCACAGCCTTGCTGGGTTCCATGGGATTGTCGATCCTGGGATCCTCGATATTTCTCTTTCTTCTCATGGGTTTGCTGACAGTTTTGATCTTCTTCATGAGGTTGCCTGTCTTGTCTCTGGCGGTTCTGCTCATCTTCATGGGTTTTCCTGCCCCGTGTCTGATGGCTTTGTTCCACTTCATGGGTTTGCCTGTCCCGTGTCTCACATGGAGTTTCCTGACCCTCATGACCATGTCTACCCCTGATTTGGTGACCCTTCTCTTCCTCTACCTTGTGGCTCTGTCTCTCACCATGACTCTCCTTAGTCTGGGCCTCTCTGTGTCCCTGCCTATCACTCCCTTTGTGAGAGTGTGGCCTTTCTTGCTGAATGTGTGCTACGAGTTTGTGTTGGTGGTGTTGGCAATCCTCCTCAGGCTCCCATGACTGGTGACTGTTCTGCTGTTCTAGCCTAGACTGAAATCTCTGTCCCTGATTTTGGTTCACTTTTTGTCCTTGAGTCTGTTGACTGGGTCTCCCTGAACTTCCTGATTGCTCATCATATGAGCCTCTGCTTGTTCGCTCATTCCCTTGGAAGCACCTATTTTGCCCAGTTTCCCCAGGTTCTGACTGACTGCATTGAGAACTCTGGCCTTGTCTGTCTGCCTGACCATAGTGAGAACTCTGGCCTTGCCTGTCTGCCTGACCATAGTGGGAACTCTGGCCTTGTCTGTCTGCCTGTCCATAGTGGGAACTTTGACCTTGTCTGTCTGCCTGACCATAGTGAGAACTCTGGCCTTGTCTGTCTGCCTGACCATAGTGGGAACTCTGGCCTTGTCTGTCTGCCTGTCCATAGTGGGAACTTTGACCTTGTCTGTCTGCCTGACCATAGTGAGAACTCTGGCCTTGCCTGTCTGCCTGACCATAGTGGGAACTCTGGCCTTGTCTGTCTGCCTGTCCATAGTGGGAACTTTGACCTTGTCTGTCTGCCTGACCATAGTGAGAACTCTGGCCTTGCCTGTCTGCCTGACCATAGTGGGAACTCTGGCCTTGTCAGTCTGCCTGTCCATAGTGGGAACTTTGACCTTGTCTGTCTGCCTGACCATAGTGAGAAGTCTGGCCTTGTCTGTCTGCCTGACCATAGTGGGAACTCTGGCCTTGTCAGTCTGCCTGTCCATAGTGGGAACTTTGACCTTGTCTGTCTGCCTGACCATAGTGAGAACTCTGGCCTTGCCTGTCTGCCTGACCATAGTGGGAATGCTGGCCTTGTCTGTATGTCTGGCCATATTGAGAATCAAATTCTTGCCTGTCTCTCTGATGATAGCCTGATTCCTGACCCAGCCTTGCAGAATGCCCATAATAAGAGCCTGATTCCTGTTGGTTTCTTTGGCCACAGCATGAATCCTCTCTAAGTCTTATAGGCTGACTTTGTTGTTGTCTAAGCCCTTCAGACCAGCCATCATGAGAATCCTGAACTTGTGTCTCATATTGATTTAAAGCAAATAAATATCCTTCTCTTTTAGTCTGGTCACTGCTAGATTTATGATTCAGTCTTTGATCAGAGCTGAAGTCCTGACCTTGCCTCTCAGACTGACTATAGCAGGAGTTCCTATCTTGTGTCTCAGACTGACCATGGTGGGAGTCCTGACCCCATCTCTCAGACTGACCATAGTGGGAGTCCTGACTCTGTTTCTCAGACTGACCATGGTGGGAGAATTGACCCTGTCTCTCAGACTGGCCATGGTGGGAGTCCTGACCCTGTCTCTCAGACTGACCATGGTGGGAGTCCTGCTCCTGTTTCTCAGACTGACCATGGTGGGAGTCCTGATACTGTTTCTTAGACTGACCATGGTGGGAGTCCTGACCCTGTCTCTCAGACTGACCATGGTGGGAGTCCTGCTCCTGTTTCTCAGACTGACCATGGTGGGAGTCCTGATACTGTTTCTTAGACTGACCATGGTGGGAGTCCTGACCCTGTCTCTCAGACTGACCATGGTGGGAGTCCTGCTCCTGTTTCTCAGACTGACCATGGTGGGAGTCCTGATACTGTTTCTTAGACTGACCATGGTGGGAGTCCTGACCCTGTCTCTCAGACTGACCATGGTGGGAGTCCTGCTCCTGTCTCTCAGACTGACGGTGGTGGGAGTCCTGCCTTTCTTCCTCATGCCTCTGCCTATGTTGTCTGCCTGTATTTCCTGGAAAGCTATGGTCTTGTGTTCCCTCCTGCTCCCCTTCTTGCTGGGAGGTTCTATCTCCACATGCCTTATTTTCTTCCTTATTATAGCAAGCTTGGACCAACTGGAACACCAGCAAGAGATATTCACGAAAATCAACATGTCCATTTCTGTCTTTATCCAAGAGGTTCAGGATGGTTTCCACAGTCTCTGGGTCATTTGGTCTCTGTGGGAAGAAAAACAAAGAGAAAAATCAGATGTTTTCCTGTGGACACTAAGATACGTGCCTAGGTTCATGCCTGTCGGACGCCTGATGTAGGCTTGGTTCTCATTTTTGATCAGCTGGTTCTTAGAACCTCATCCCTTCCTGACTCATTGGAGGGAGCAGGACTATGGGGAGTAGAGATATACTTATTTAAAATCAGCTCCCTTCATAATGAATTTGGGGAAGCTGTCCACCCCATCACCTGATAGTTGTTTGTTTATCAACATTTTTCCAACCACAGTGTGAGTTCCTGGAGGGAGTAAAAGCTGGCTTTTTCTATGTTTGTATCCTCAGTGGCTAGTATGGCGCTGGTGTGGAGTAGGTGCTTAATGATTCTCTATTGAATGAATGAATGAGAAAATGTGTGGACAGCATTAAAATATAGAAACTAAGACATCAATGTAGATTTCTTCTGAGAAATGATTTCCAATTCAAAGTTCTACTTCCTCCTGTTCGAGCTCAGATGTAAGGAGATGTGTGTGTATGTGTGTGTCTGAGCATGCCTGTGCACACATGTCTGTGTGCTGGGAGCAAGCTATTAAGGAGCTACCTGTAACTCTCTTAGTTCCAGGGTGGAGCATGACCAAAGAAAACAAAAACTAAGCCCTAGATGCAGGTTTCAGAGTCACATACACTTGACTCCATGGGATCCAGATTCTACGCATCTTACCCGGAGGATGTTTCCAAACTCAGCCAAGAGCAGCTGCTTCAATTCCTTCTTGCACAGCAGAGCACAGTCCCCGTCCTCTTTAGCATATTTCTGGAACACCTTGATCACGGTGAGTATGCTGTTCAGGAGTGGAGCCATTTTGGAAAAGACAGGTAAACCTAAAAGAAAAAACAAGATTTTGTCTGTTTAGGATGAAGCCCAGGAGTCAGCATTTTCAGAGGGAAAGTGGCCCCTCTTGGTCAGGAACAGAGCTTCTCCTTAGCCACATCCCTGCCCCCCTTTGACCCCATAGTCTGGCTCCAAATATCACACCGTGGGAGATGGGCACAGACTATGGGTTCCCTGCTAGAAAAAAATGGCTATTTCCTAAAAACAAACAAAAAAATACAGTAGGTGTTTTACATGCCCCATCTTCTACTCCAGATGGGACTTGCTTAATTGAAATTCTCATATTAGAAAAAAAAAAAAAAGAAATTCTCATATTAGAACAAAAGGGAAAGATGGTTAGGAAGCTACAAGGCAGGACCAAAGCCAGGGTCATGAAGCAGAATTTTCCACCAATGACTAGCATGCTGAATGGGGCACTACATTGACCCCACTGCAGGCCGCAGTCTTCTAATGAGCCTTGCTCAAGTGGGGAAGAAGGCTAGAGGTCTCTCGCCATGGCCAAGGAAACTTTCTGGGAGACTAAATTCCAGTAAGTGCTTCTGGCCTGGATGATCACTTTGGATATGATTATAAAATAGAATCAGTGAATACAAAACTGCTACAGATGAAATAGCAAGCCAACTTAACTGCGTAGGTGATGGGAAGTCTGATGTAATCAGAGAAGTTCACATCGGCCGTGCTAAGAGGCAGAGGGTCTTTGGGGGTCTGGATCTCAAAGCTATTTCTTCTTACATTGTGAAAATCCCAGTTACTGGGCCTGTAGGCCTCCAAACAGAAACCCTAACTGCAAAGCACATTGGACTTCCAATAGCATGCAATGATGCCTGTACGGACAAGTGGTAAATAACAAATTGCATGGGACCTGGTCCCTAGTGTCGATTCATTACAATGAGACTTGAATATTAAGTGGCCCATGGTCCAGGGCCTTGCCCTGATGAGCTCTAAACTCTTGGGTCTTGCCTAACTTGCACAAAAGGCAAATGCTCCACTAGGGGAGACTAGCAAACCGCCAATGGTTCTAGCCCTTGATTTTGGAATACCTAGGACACACTGTAAAAAAAGCATATTTTTTTACAGCCTCAGAAGTAGGCAGTCCTAACTATGATCATATTCTCAGATAGAGCCAAGAAAATGAAGCAGGAGAGTACCCACGGCTATCACCCTCAGTGAGTAGTCTCAGATCTCTCCAGCCCAGCACATCACAGCCACCATCAAGACCCTCATGGATACTGCCATTGTTGCCCCATGCATGTCTTACCTGTGTAAGGAGGAATGAGCAGATGATTGAGAAGCTGAAGAGGATATTGGAGGCCTGAAAACCCATCCTATTTATAGGGGTTTTAATTGTCCTACGAGGCCATTGTAGGAGACACCCATTCTGTGGCAGAGCCTGAATCACCCTGGACCCAGCCCAGCTCAGCCCAGCTTGGCCTCTCCCTCTACAAACCGTTTAGTTTATTTACTTCCCCCACTTGCTCATGAACTTGTTTGTCATTATATTAGGTGACACGGTTCAAGTCCCAGCCCCATTTAATTAGGGGAGTATGCGTGTGCATGTGTGCTGTGGGGGTCCGAAAAGACAGAGATGTCCATTCTTAAGATGTGTCACTCACCAAGACTAATGGAGGACAATAGTCAAAGAAGATTAGCAATATGTTCATGTTACAAAAATCCGTCAACGTAGGGACTAGAGATTCTGGGTATGTGGCCAGGTTATAGTTCTTGGAAGAGATTTGTCCTAAACTAATGTCTTGCTTGTGTGTATTGTATGTGTATTTCAATCTATTGACCTATTTTGAATTAAATTTTTTTTAACAGCTCTGCAGGCTAGTGGAGGCAGTAGACACATGACTGATTGCGGGGAGGAGGACTGTGATGATGGTGTTGCTATCATCACTTGAACCTTTTAAGGTTTTATGAAAAAGTTAGAGTTTAGCCAAACCAGTTTGGTTCAGTGGATAGAGCATCGGCCTGCGAACTAAAGGGTCCCAGGGTCGATTCCGGTCAAGGGCATGTACCTTGGTTGCGGGCACATCCCCAGTGGGAGGTGTGCGGGAGGCAGCTGGTCGATGTTTCTCTCTCATTGATGTTTCTAACTCTCTATCCCTCTCCCTTCCTCTCTGTAAAAAAAAAGAAAAAGTTAGAGTTTAGCACCTGGCCAGCGTGGCTCAGTGGTTGAGTGTCAACCTATGAACGAGGAGGTCCCAATCAGGGCACATGCTTGGGTTGTGGGGCATGCCGGAGGCAGCCGATTAATACTTCTCTCTCATCATTGATATTTCTATCTTTCTCCCCCTTTCCCATGCTCTCTGAAATCAATAATGCATATATATTTTTTTAAAGTTAGAGTTTAGGAACAACATGGGAGCTTATGCTATGTGAGTAGAGATGCGGTCAGAGACCTGGGCCTCCAGTCATTCTCCACCTCTGCACCTGTGACCTGCACCAGTGTCTTAAGCATAGGAGAGTCCAAGTAAGTCTTGGTGGAGTAAGTGAATTATTGGTTAGGAAAGCATTTGGAAATTTTGTGTAAAATGCAAAAAATTCTAGATTTGCTATACTTTCTATTTTTGTTTCTGGTTATACTTTTTTTCTATGTAGCCATCCATCAACCAGTTAGTAGTGCTTGGGATTCTGCAAGGGAATCACAAAAGTGCAGGGAGATTTTAATCCAGTTGGAGTAAAGGAGCCTTATGTAGAAGAAAGATTTTGAATGACAGGGACAGAACACTAGGAGTGTTGAGTGTTGGAAAACCTGGGTATGTATGGAGTGTTCATACAAACCCAGGGGCTGGGCCCAGACTTCTCTTAGAAGGTGGGATTTGGGTTGATCCCTGAAGGATTCAGGTGGCAGAAAGGAAAGAAGAGAAATTCTGGTGGGGAGAAGGGAAAGACCAAAGAGACAAAGGTGAGAATTGACAGGGTGTGTTTGGATTAGAGTGAGTTGGTACGTCTGGCTGGAGCAGAGGGTGTACAGGAGAATAGAAATAGAAAATTTTTCAGCTGAAAAAGAAATCTAGTCTTAGCCTCCTAATTTTACACATGAGGAAACTGAATCCCAGCTAGATTGAGTGATTGCCAGGCGTCCGACAGGGTTATGACTAAAGCCAGGCCTAGAACCCTTGTCCCTTTACCCGATCCCATCATGCTTTCTTATAAATTCTCTGAGGCAGATTTTCAGTCTGCTTTAGGGTTTATTTTAATGAAAAAATGTGAAACAGGGAGCATTTTGGTCAGGAAAGTGACACGATAAAAGCATTGTTTGGGGCAAGATTTTGATCTGACTGCAGTAAGGTGGCCAGCTGTCTCAGTTGGGACTGAGGAGCTACCTGGAGGTGAGACCTTCAGAGCAAAAACTGGGAGGATTCTGGGCAACTTGGGACAAATTGGTCACCCCAGACTGTGGAGTTTAAGATGAATTGGAAAGAGCCCTGTCTGAGCAGGGAGGCCTGTTAGGAGTCTCTTGTACGGCCATGTGGGGAGTGTGGATGTAGCAGTTCATAACTATAGGAAGGTGCTGGGTGACAGAGGAGAAGAAAGATGGGGTTGGGGACAGATTTGCTGAGGGGCAGGGAAGGAGAGAAGTCAGGTGAGACTCCAAGGCTTTAAGCCTAGGAAACTAGGAAAGCTGCGGTGTACTGAAGAAATGAGACTCCTGAGGGCTCTATGGGGTCTGAGGTTCAGCACCCCACTCCCCTCCCGACCCCCTACTGGCACTCCACAGGGTGTCTGCCTTTGGGATCTTGTCACCTTCCTGCCAGTTTGCACCCAGTGCTGTTTGGGGTCTCCCAGCACTGGGCAGGCCTTGCGAAGATGTGTTTATACATCCTGAGAGCTGGTCATGCTGAGATTCTATTTCTGCTTTTGTATCTCGACCTATGAGAGCTGTTTAGTTATGCCTCTTTTCATCTATTAGAACTAAAAACCAGGAGAAGGGTTGGTGACTCCAGGGACCAATAAGGGGAGTGGAGGTAGGTGGGTAGCGGGTAGAGAGCAGCGAAGTGGGGGGCCCCTTTCTGTGGACGTTTCTCAGGGCTCCCTAGCAGCTGTTTCGTCAGGTTCGTGGGGCAGGCAGTTCTCTGCGTGGTGCTGCAGTGCAGAGGAGGGTCATGTTCTTAGGAGGAGGGTCTGTTACATATGCCTTCATCAAACACTCAGGAAGTTCCTATAGGACAAGCAGAGGACTGTGTGTATTGCTCAGTTAATCAGTGGAGAGTTGTGCGCTTTGAGCACCATTCTGTAGGCACTGAGATAAAGGCACACACAGTCCTTGTGCTTAGGGACTTCCATTCTCCTGGGAGGTAGGCTACACAAGATCCTTTTCTATAGTTCAAACCCTGCTCTCATTGCTAGGATATTGAGAGGGACTGGTTAGAGGGAAGAAGAGAAGGATCTAGGAGCTAAAAATAATACATATTTTAAGAAATTATGAAACATACTGGGTAATTTTGGGTCAATTGCTTAGCCTCTTGGCCTCGAGTTTCTTCATCTATTAAAAGAGAGGGTTGGACTGAACTCTAAGCTTTTTTAAAAAAAGAAAATATATTTTTTAATTTTTATCTCGGAGAGGAAGGGAGAGGGAGAGAGAGATAGAAACATCAATGATGAGAGAGAATCATTGATTGGTTGCCTCCTGCATGCCCCACACTGAGGATCGAGGCTGCATGTACCCTGACCAGGAATTTAACTGTGACCTCTGGTTCATAGGTTGACGCTCAACCACTGAGCCATGCTGGCTGGGTGAAGCTTTTTTATTTTTATTTTGGCATTAACATGCTAAGATTCTGGAATTCCAATCTTATGTCAGCAGGAGCTTTTGAGGATATATTATAACTGCTTTTGAGGATATATTATATTTTGAGGATATATTATATTTTGAGGATATATTCATGAATTTGATAAAGGCCTCATAACTTTGTGCTCCTCAGTCTTCCTCTGTGGGGAACAGGAGGACAATAATGGGTATCCTG